GCAAAATAATGTTTCATTGTTCCAGATCCAAATGATGCATTTGAAACGTTGTTACTGAACCAATCTTTTGTATCACTTCAGTGATTCGGATCAGTGAGTCGGTTCCGTAAAGAGATACGCCTAATTCAATGGCCGGTGCTACTTCAAAAGCCGTAGCCGTCGCCGATGCGTCGCGAAAATAGCCGGATAAACGATTTGTTACATTTCGATCTGATCGGTCGTTCTTGAATAGTGTTACTGAGTAAAACGTTTATTGTAATAGATAGTTTCGCTTTCGTTGGACTGCAATAACGCGCTACCCGCTATTGTATGAATAGACAGTTTCAATAACTGGTTACTTTTTGTAACGACCACTCCTAACTAAGACTTCTTACTAGTTTGTGGCTAACACCTAGTTACGTTTTGTTTATTTTTTTTCTGTGGTCTCGTTAGCTTGCTACTTGCTACATATTTATTTTTATCTATGGGTCTTGTTCTCGTGTGTGTGCCGTGTGTGTAGCTTGCTACTACGGATGTGACATTGTGTGAAAAAAATCGATTAATAAAAAATCGATTATTTGCTTTGTAATATTAATCGATTTAGAAAAAATCGTTTTTTATTAGAAGTAATAATCGATTTTTGCGGAAAAAATTCTTTTATTCGAAAAAATGCCTGCTTTCCTATAATATATTAATAAAACTACGATATTAGTATTACGTTAACAATTTATCAGAATATAAATCAAATAAAATGATAAGTGTAAAAAATAATCAGAACGACAATCTTCTGGTTTCAAAACTAAATCACAAAACAATTTTTTTAACCTATAACTTTTAACAATAAAAAACTAAAAATAATTACTGCTACTATTATCATTTAACAATTTATTAGAACCACAATAAAAAGAAACGTTTAAGTTTAGTAAACGATAGGTTTTTTAAGTAAGTTTGAACAAACAAAAGATCTAAATATCATTATTGCCACAAATGTTCAGTATCATTGACATTGGATTAGAATGAAAATAAAATAAAACTATAAATTTAAATAATCAAACCTTTTGGTCTCAAAACTAATATACAAAATAAATATTTTTTTAAACTTGTGTAAACAAAAAAGTAAAGAAATATTTCCATAAATTTTCATTTAAAAACAATAATTTTACCAACATTCTTCTTCGTCTCTTTTGTAAAATACAGTTACGTTTTTACCTGACAATATTTCCCGCTTTCGAAAATAATCTTTCGGCTGGCACGGAACTGGCCATCACAAAGACGTGTTTTAGAACCAATTCGGTTAGTTTAGGGAAAGTTTCTTCAGAGCTCCATGTACTGAGGGCATCTGCCTTAAGATTTGATAGTGATGCCGCAATATATAGGTCCAATTCAGTATTTTTGCCTATTGACGTGTTGGCCGCTATTATTTTTTCATTATAAAATACATCCGTCAGCCACTTTTAGGCATTTTACAAGACATTTTTATTGTTTAACAATTATTTACACTTTCTAAAGAAAGAAAGAAAATCACAGAATACTTTTACTCCTAGCGGAGAAAGAAAACTGTTTGAAACATACGAAAGGCGAAACTGTTTTACATACATAGAGATACATACAGGTGGCGCCGTCTTTTGATGACTTGTTCATGTTAGTGAACTTACTTCGCGTTTTTTCATCTGTCGCACAGATGACGCTGTTCTTTTCATCGACTTATTTATGATATTGAACTTCTTGTTTTTACATATATCGCACAGATTACGCTGATTAGAAAAATCGATTAAAACACGTAATTTACGTAATCGATTTATTAAAAATCGATTTTTATGATCAAAAAAATCTACTTTTAAAAATCGATTAATATGAAAATCGATTATTTTTTCACATCCCTACTTGCTACATATATATTTATCTATGGTGTAGGGGTGTCCACTTTGAAAATACAACGATGTTTTTTTTCGATGAGATGCATCGAAATTGTGCATCGATATATTTCGATGCATCGATTAGAAACATCGATGTTTTTGCAACATCGAGTACTTTTTATGACTTTACATTATAAATCTGTAGTCAACTTCCTGCCAACCCATTCAAACAACCGACAATTTTGAATGATCTACTCTTATATCGGCACTGTCTTTGTCCGCACGCCTTGTGTGTATGTGCGTGTGTTCAAGGATGTTAGACAGTTAGATAGATATTCTTTATTTCACGAAACATAAATTATCTTAATCTTAAGAACTAATATATTATTGTTAACAAACGTATATATTCATAGTTATTTATATTTATTTGTTTTTTTTAAACCTTTATGCACAAAAGAAAAATCGTACATATGGCGGACTTAATGCCTTAAGGCATTCTCTCTCAGTCAATTATATTTACTATTTATATTTGTATGTTGATGTGTATATATGTCTGTATGTATTTATATATTAGTAAAATTTATATATATCTTAGTTATTTATTGTTGTTTTGTTTTTATTCTACTGCTACACCTACATCAAATTCTCACCTGATAGAGAATGCCTCAAAGCATTAAATTCGCTCTTTGTATTCTTTTATATTAAGGAATGCAAAAAAATTCACGAAAAATGTGTCCCGAGTCAACCTATATAAACGTATTATACCTATATATAATTTTACTTGCGACAATTTAGTAGACTTCCAACTTCAACCAGAAGCTGTTTGATTTTTTGTTTTTACAATTAATGTGAATTTACGTACCTTGTATCTAAGCAAAATATTACTTTTAAATTATTAAATATTAATAGTCCTTATCGAATATATATATATATATATATATATATATATATATATAAATATATATATATATATATATATATATATATATATATATATATATATATATATATATATATATATATATATATATATATATATATATATATATATATATATATAGTTTTGCTCGTTTTGTGATACGATACGGTATTTTGGAGTGTATTATCGGTCGACAAAACGAAGACTGGCGCGCAATTGGAACTCTTTTTGCATTTTGGAATTCTTTTTACTCGGACACTTGAGCGCATTTAGTAGTAGGTCAATGTTTATATTATTTTTGTTTATACAATGTTTATTGTATTATATTATTTTAAATGATTTTAATAGAAAAAAGCATGCATCACAATAAAATTACTTACATATGGAAAATAACTGCATCTTTTTGTAAATTTTAAGCATTTCGACTGCTTTTTGTACACGTTAACCCCTCCGATCGGCATTTTGTAAAGAGCACCTACTACGGCGGCAACGTTTCTGGTAATTATAAAATCGATTTCGTAAACAGTTTTTATAAACGCACAAGCTTTTAAATCCAATACCTTGGCAGAGGGGAATAATTATGCGAGATGAGTCCACTAAGTTAAATGGTCTAAAGGCTACTTACTTGCCTGCCGCAGGGGCAATCTAGGGTGTAAGAATGGGGATAACCCTTAATTGTGATGTGTGTATGAAAGCAGGGGCAATTTTCTAATTCAGCCCTGCGGCAGAGCGACATGGGTGCAAGACCTTCCTTGCTCCCTAGATCATAGCTACCGCTACCACGTGTGTAGCGCAATTGGGGCAATTTCAATCAGTTCGTTAGCGACTTTCGCGCGCAGCACACGTCATAATGGATACCAATAATAAATATGAAATTTGGACACTGGTGATAGAAGTGTATTAAGCGCGGCTTCTTCACCCAGTATCTCCTTTTTGTCTTTTTTTTTTGCAGTAGCAGAAAAAAAAGTGCGCAGAAAGAACCTTATTTAAACATTGTAACGATTCTAAACGTGGTAGAGTCATACTGCAGCTTTTAAGGACTGTGTTATGGGATTTTTTTATAGGATAAGGTGACAAACGAGCACACAAGGTAAGTAGTTGCTGTGACCCGTATACATCTACATCTGTCCTCAATAAAGAATCAAAATGCAGATGCGTTGTCACCCGTGAGGACTAAGATGTAATACCTCTTTTCCAGTAAAAAGGGTCTCCGGTTCTCTACACTCACCATACGAAACACAGCAGTGTTAAGCTGCTGTTTTACGGTGGTATTCTGTGAGAGCGTGGTTCTTCCTCGGTCCAGCCGACCCATTCGTGCTACAACTATACTACTAATATAGCTGCAGCATGGCTCTACCACGTGTAATTATTAATTAATTTGTTGTTTTATTAATAAATATGGGTAACTATGGGCCACAGTATCCACTTAACATCAGGTTGACTGTGCTCATTTGTCACCCTTATTCTATATAAAAAAAGAGCTAAGGCTATATTTACCGATTCATTTATATTTTGATAAAACTAGCGCCATTCCCAACGCGTGTGCCCAGCGAGACGTACACTCTCACATAGAACGGCAGGCGTGTGTAGAGACAGTTCTGATATTGCCCCTGATTTTTTATTGCCTGATTTAAAATAGCGTAGTTCGTATTATATTGTATAAAAATGTAAATATTTTGTTATTTTCTACAAGAATGGCCCCTATGAAACGTACACTGCAAAGGCAAGCACGGAAAATGATGCCCCGATCGCTGTTCGTCCTAGATTGCCCCTGCGGCACGAAAGTGAGTAGCCACCTTAAGACCGAAACAGACCAGACGATTTTTTTTTAGATTCTCTTTAATACACAACCAGCCAATCTCAATTTCTTGATTCCGCTAAGGGACTGACAGCTGCCAACTAGCGCCACCAACAGCTTTAAATATTATAACTCCTAAATCAGAGAATGTTTTAGTTTATTCTGATTTAGAAGTTATAATATTAATAGTGCTAAATAAGTATACCTTTTTACAATATTGATTGGTTATCATTGATTCGATGTTTTGTGAAAATACATCGATACATCGAGTATATCAATAACTTTCCAAAACATCGGATCGATTCGATGCATCGTATTGTAAACATCGAGTGAATTCGATGCATCGATGTATATCGAATATCCCTACTATGGTGTGTGCTGCCTGCCAAAGAAGAACTAGAGTTTAAAATTGCTACGTTTTACGTGTGCCGTTGTATCGCGTATCCACGAATTATGCAATGTAACTTAAAAAATCTAGTGTTACATATGCGTAAATAGTTTAATTGTATTTTTATAAAATACCTACATAGATGAAAAAAAAATTAAGGATTAAGAGTATTCTTGGCTTTAAAAGTTACGTTGGTTTCATAAATTCAAAATGAGTTCGATATATACTTTGCTAAGCGCAAATGTTCAAAGAATTTTAACACATTATAAATCAACAAAGTGTTATAATTATTATAGGAATTTATCATCAAGAGACTTCCTAAACGACGTTTATTGTCGGACCAAGTTGAAATGTAAATGTAAGTTTAGAATTTTAAGTTAAAAAAATATTCCAGTTCGATAATATTTTGTTATTATTATTGTTTTTACTTTTTATTTCTCTTGTTATAGCTAAAAAACTTCCTCAAGATGTTAACCCGCGAGGTGTTTTTGCTTGTAATGAGTTGGATTTGTCTGAAGTTCAAGTATATGGCTTCGATTACGACTACACTTTGGCCCACTACAAACCATCTTTAGAACATTTATTATACAAACTCGGGAGAGATATGCTCGTTGAAAAATATAAGGTTTTTATAATTAACACTTTTGGTGTCACCTTTAATATAATTTTGATTCTATCTATTGTGAGAAATCAATAGTCGTGGATAAGACAATTGAGTAGTATTATTAAATTACCCTGATACTTGATTTTTACATTTTAGTATCCAGCAGAAATTTCGAAGTTAGAGTATAAACCTCATTTTGCTGTAAGGGGATTACACTATGACATAGAAAAGGGATTGCTTTTAAAATTAGACTCATTCCTACAAATTCAATTTGGTGCTGTGTACAGAGGTCTAACACCAGTATCAACAGAGGAAGTCCTTAAATTATACAAAAATAGGATTATACCAATAGCATATGTAGAAGATGACACTAGAGTACATAAGGTGAGTACACTGTATTATATTGGTTATCAAAATTGGTTGAGCCATTTTTGAGTTTTTGCGAGACTAATGCATAGCAATTTGACTTTTATATATAGCCCTTTCGAACCCGATAATTTTATTTTAATATTTATATAATTTTTTTGTTAAAATGAGTTTATGAGGGTGACACAAAGTACTAAAAAATATTAAAAAAATTATATTATTATTATGTATTTAAAATATATATATAACACGATTGTGCGACTTGGGTTTATCTTGCACTAACGCACAATTTTGTTGCAGTAAATTTGTTCAAGGTTTAATAAAATAAAATAAACATTTAAAGTAAACTACGCAATTAAACTTTAATTTTTTCAATAAAAATGAGATCACAATATTAGAAGTATACATTAATAATATCTTTGGCATGCAAAATCAACAATATCAGTACTAATCAGTCTCTTTGTTACATTTTTTGTTTCCAATCGAACTATAAATAAAGTTTGTCATTACTTAGTATGATATAAATAAAAACAGTCATTGCTTCGGCTTAAACACAAATAAATGTTGCATTTTCTGCATCTGATTTTTGTACGCGAGGAACAAGATTCTAAGCGACAACAACGAGGAGACGTAATGTCATCTACGATTGGTAGGTGGTCGTATCCATCGTACCTCTTACCCTCCGATGGCTTTGTTCCTGGTCGGTATCTGCGAATACCTGAAGCTTGTTCAACCGAAGGGGAGGGTGGAGTTGCCTCACGTCTATCTCTGGCCGGTACACATAGCAATGACTCACCAATTTCAAACCTAAAAGCCATGAGATCCATTATTTTATTATTTTGCACACCTTTTGCCAAAGAATGACATTTGTACAATCTCCAGGAATTTACTACAGCTAGATCTAGAAAATGAAGAATCACTTTCAAGGTCCATTTTCTGGTTTTCATAAAGGTTCTGTAATATTCCATGGACTGGTCCAAAACATCGACACCGCCCATATATTTATTGTAATTTGTAACAACTCTTGGAGCTTCTACGTCAATGTATGCCTGCCTATTTTTATCGTAACGTTTGACGAGATCGATACAGTTACCACCCGTGCAGTTGGATGCCATAACAATACATTTACTGTCTTTCCACTTGACTAATGCTATGCTGTCATCAAGAACCCGTTGGTCAACTTCCCCTCGCTTCATTTTCCTGTCCTCTTTAAAATTTATGTGAACACGGTCGGGTATACGATTAAGCATAATCGTTCCCGTACCATGGAGGTTCTGTTTAGATAGTGTTTCCAACAGGGGTATCGTTGAAAAATACCGATCGAAATACAGGCAACTAGTCGGCGGCACCGCTTGTGCTAAACGTAAAATGATAGCTGGTCCAAGTCCTAAAGATCTGTCTGAGAAAGCGGGATTAGCTGCGTAATATATCTCAAAATCTAGCATTAATCCATCACTTGTAGTAAGAACAAAATTTTTGAGGCCGACAGGTCGTGGTTTGTTTTTTACTAACTGCCGAAGCTCACATTTACCTGTAAACGGTATTATTTGCTCGTCGACGGAAAATCTTCCTGGACATCTGTCAATTTTGTTACATGCATCTTTTATAATGTCAATTACAGGTTGTACTTTCCAAAGTGGATTCCTTGGACCAGCCGGTGGAGTATCAGATGGAACAACATGTAAAGCGTTTCTTAAAGTTGTAAACCTGTCCCTAGGCATAGCTGTGGCTATCATTTCCACTTGTATATGTTTACGCCAGTACATTGCAATTCTTGGATATGACAACATGCCCATTATTAGATGCATGCCGACCAGTTTCTTTATTTCTTGGCTACTGGTATTAAGAACCCGTCCAGTGTGGCGCATGTAATACATGTTGGTGCAAAGAGCAGCATTTTCAAAAAATGATTCGTCAAAATAATCACGAAAATACTCATTTGGAGAACGGATTTTTGCAGGTTCTGGATGCCCAGAATAATCATGGAATTTATCAATATAATAATCATTTTTCCAAATTCGCCTACGTAAAGGTAAAGTTCGTTGTCTACCTGTTCGCGTTGATGTGGATGGTTCTTGTGGCGGAGACGCTACATTTTGATCTTCAAACTGCTGAGCTGGTAATGATGGCTGTTCTGGACAGTTTTCATCACATTCCAAGTCCGAAATATCTAGGTCGGAATTATTTCCATCCTGCAGTAGATCCAATATTTGGTTATCGTCCAAAAGAACGCCTAAAAATATAAAATAAAGCGGTTACTTACCCATAAGCAAAAACATGCGTTACTATAATTAAAACCCACATAGCACAATTGTGCTACCTAATATTTTCGAAGAAAAATAACGCCTTAAACAATATTTACTAACGTGCAAATTATGTTTAAACATTAGATCAGAAACTTATCTAACTATAATTAATAAATTATAAAGAAAAAAACAAAATCTGTAATACAATGCTAATGTACTTACGAAAACCAGTAGCAGGATCACGAAACGCAGCCATCGCGTCGAAGGCCAAACAGGAGACTAAACTTCAAAAACTGTAACGGCTAATGTATAAAACGGTCGTTTGTTAAGCGCAGGATTCATGCAGCCCGGTTTGGTGCAGTGAAATAGACGTTTTAGTATTTTAATATTTTCTTAAAAGTAAGACGCACAATCATATCGGTCAGGTTCGAAAGGGATATAGATATTTCAGTAGAACCTCCATGGTAACACAATAAAATTATAATGCAAACTAGCAACACATTTTTGCAGCTAAATGAGGGTCTTTGTTGAAACACACTGTGAATAGATTCATTTGCCGAGAATTGAATTAGCCATGATTTGAATACACTTGTAGTGAATATTTGCTGTGTGTGACCGAAGCTAAAGACAAGATAAGACAAAGTCAGTTTAATAAATGTTGTCCAATGCTGCTATATGATAAAATTAAAATTGTAGGTGTCAGGAACTTCAAGGACAGTTTTTATAAAGTGTGGAATTTTTTGTTCCTATTTTGTGGTTTGTGGTTTAAGATATTTATTTCTCAAAAGAATTATAATTCACTTACATGAGAAATGTTCACAATGTTACATAGCTTAATTCAAACGGTACGACACACAAACAAAGTGATAATAAAACAAAATGATACAGTTTTCTTTAAAATCTAAGGTAAATAATGTAACAAAAAGAAAAGTTTTAAGTGCAAAGTATTATTATTTTATTATTATTATTACTATGTTGCCAATATTACCTAACCAGAAAGATTGAAAAACTGAGAACAGCACAGTAAATAAAAGAATTTGGCCTGTGCAGGGTATGTTATTATATCCCATTTAGCTTAAAACTAATAATATTTGACTGATCATGAGGTTTTGTGGGTTTGAATCTCAGGTCGGATATAAATCAGTTATTGGGTTTTTCTGACAAAAAATATAAAATTAAAAAAAACTTGTTAAAGATATTTGGTTAATAAGCCTACTATAAAATAGATCAATATGTTGAGGACAATGATGTATGTTAATAACTTTTTTTTTGCACTTGTACACAGCTCTTTTTAATAAATGTACGAGGGAAGGTCAAATAGTTTGCAGAATCAAAGGGAAAGGGGGTGAAATTAAATATGAACTTATTTTTCCTTTTCGATATATTCTCAAATAACCCTAAAATTTTTAATTTTTAAAAGGTTGAATTATAAACTACTACAAAGACCTGTAATCTATATTATCCTGTTATCTATTTTATATTAGTTATTGTTATAGAATAATATGTACCAGCCGTATACCTGAGCACATAAAACTACTGTGTCATTGTCTTCAGATCTCTGCCCTATCAAATATCCTCCTTCAGTCTCTAAAATAGATAGAAATCACTAGGTGCAAGGTCTTGTGAATATGAAAAATGCAAAGGCCAACCTGTGAGCCAAAGTTTGCCTCGCCAATCGCCATTTCTCTTGGATTTTGTTACACAATTTTTTATCTGTTCTGCATATATAATGCTTCAGGAGGTTGGAAGTCGTCAAGTCTACATGTGTGAGACAATTCGTAATGGCTCGAAAACAGCACCTAGACGTGGCTCAGAAAGGAAATCGGTCTGTAGTTTTTCAAGAGAGCATTGTCGTCTTTCTTGAAGAACAAGAGTACCCCACTTCTGCTCCACGTCTCCAAAGTAGTCCCACCATGGAGGACAGAATTAAAGGGCTTCTGAAAGATTTCCAAGTACTGGTTTTCCACCCGCTTTCAGATGCTCCGCTGTAATTACATCCTCGCCTGGGCCATTGCCGTTTTTATGGTGCTGGAGAGTTATTCTAATCTTGCTCATACTAACGTATGGGATATCACTGGAACAGTCTCGAATAAGACTTGCTCTTGGATCGCTACTCATACTTGCGTGTGGCTTCAACTCAAAACGTCGGGAATTAAAAAAGGTACAATTAATTGTGATATAATCCGTAAAAATTAGGTTCAATAAATGTGTAGTCTTCCCGTAAATATAAGAAAACATTATCTGTCTGTTCAGTTGCCTGTATGCTGTCAAATCTGTTGAAGCCTCATTTCCCGTCTATCAGCCATGAGATTAAGAGTGTGATCAATGAGTTTTTGTGTTCTTCTGCGGTGGGTCTTGCAGAACTTAGCTCCGACTGCATGGACAGTTTCCACGAGCTTGTCATTCATATCGTCCACTGCATTGCAGTCTTCTAGGCACTGAAAACTGTTTTGTAACTCAAGCTGAAAGGTTTCGGGACATTGGATTAGAGCATGAGGGGGATGGAGCGTTGACTTCATTAGATGAGACCCCTCTAACTTAATGTTTAGGTTCAGTGTGCCTCTAACCATTTGTTGATTGCTACCAGTTTTCACCCTCGCAATCACTGAGACATCACTAAACAGTTGCTGTCTAGTTGTCATAACGAAGTCAATTTCATTTTTGTCGAACCATCTGGGCTCGACCAGGTTCACTTCCTGTGAGGTCATTTCTGGAAGAAAGAGTTCATCGTAAAGAGTCCCTCTTTCTCCATGAAGTCGGCCAGCTGTTGGC